CACACACCTTGTTAATCAATATAAAATCAAATACAATAAGGAGGGCTGAAGGGGATAGGCCAGCCTTCCTCTGGTATTACGGAGGTAGGGAAGATAGATTTTATGCGAAATTCTTCTTGTAGTTATATCTCTACGTGAGTTGGACGAATCCTCAAAAGTAGTTAAAGGAGGGTCGTGTAAGTTGATAACCAACATAAAACTTCATCGAATCTTCTTACACAAATTCTTTTAAGTTATGCATATTTCCATACTTCATTTTGAAGTAGGCATATAATCGTGAAGGCGTATATTGTGCTCACAGTTTGTTCATTATGTTCCCAAAGTATTCTAGATGTGATAATAATTTGGGACATTTGATTCACGACTGTAATGTATAATACAAACACAAAAGAAAGCACCTTGCTGTAAGGGCAAAAAGAGGAAACAGAACATGGGATCATATTATCTCACTGATTATTGTTGTAATGTGTTGGAGAGCTAGTAGGAGCCATCCTATCTCAATAGCGTATATTTGGAGCTCAGTATGAAATTTTATTTTCTTGCAAGTCAATTAGTCTCAAACATGTCTTTTGTATGTCCTCATAATTTTCTGCCTGCTGTCAATAGGAGTAGATTTTAAAGTAAAGCATGTTGCTGTTGGAGGGAAAAAATTGAAACTCGCAATTTGGGATACAGGTAAATATAATTTTATGGCATGATGTATGCGAAAAAAAAAATATGAATCTTAAACTGTGTATCTTACTAGGATATGTTGTGTATATATTTTTTTATCTTCCTAGATTTTTTTGTCCCTGCAAATTTCTTCTTCTAGAACAGTCTGCTATCTTTTTTGCACATTGACGCAAAGATGATAGTGTGTACAATTATTGAAGAAGGAGCCGCTTTTGCTTTGCTTTCTCTGTCCCTTCTAGTTTCTTTTTCTCTGAATTTGACTTTATTAGAATCTGTTACCTTGTATTGCTTTCTAATTCAACAAGGGCTTACTGCTGTTCATATCACCAATGCTCCTGTAGAAAATTTCCCTTTCACCATGTCTTCTCAGTTTCATATGAATGATGTATACTAGAAACCTAGAAGTTTGCTTGATGGGCTCATAACTTAGATGGTTTGCTCAATTTAATTTCTCATCTTGCAGCTGGACAGGAAAGATTCAGGACTTTGACCAGTTCTTACTACAGAGGAGCTCAAGGAATCATATTGGGTAAGTTCTTTCCATTTGCTATTTCCTTCTCTCCAATGTTTTTTCCTGTCTGTGACCTAAAGCACTTCCAATAGAATTTTCTTTCGAAAGATATATCATGTATAATAGCAGGTAGAGTCATCCACTCCAGTTTGCTGAATGAAAAAGCATCTCTTATGATATTACAATTGGAAAATCCAAGTTAAATAAAGTAATTTTGGCTAAAGGAATATATTGGCTCTACTCAGTCGGTAATGCCTGAGAGTGCATCATGAAGGTAGGGATGTAGTGTAAATATCAGGAAATTTGGTTAAGAACATGAAATGGCTGATTTAATTGATGCGGCAGAGATTATTATATTGTTTTTGTTCATCCATAATCACCACGAGTTTGTAGTCTTTTGCAATAATGTATAAATAGAAGTTCATTTTCTCTTTGGGTTCCCGCCCCCACCCCTCACTCCCGCCCGCCGCACCCCCACTGTCCCTCTTCCCTCAAACTAAGCTTCCGACTTATGTTATTTAGATAGATAGACGTCTAGTAGTATATGTCAGTTGCATGGTGTAATCTTTTATTTTAGGACAATAATGACACAGACAACTCTGCAACATCATAGCAAATCTATTCAACCCAATATTCAATTTTAGCTGGTTCCTCTAGAATCACTTATTTGCAATTTTGTTGTCTCAGATAAGTCTTATATTTTTTCAGCCTGCATATCCTGTTGTATGCCTATCTGTTGCTTGTTGCAATTTTATCCATGTTGCATTGTGGAACTTTAATTTCACATTATACTATGTCATACACATTTACAAGATATCAGGTAATCTATTTTACCTGATTTCTGTTTTCAAGTAATTTAGTTTGATTCTCTTCCCATTTTGTTCTCTTTTCAGATTTGTCAAAAACCTTTGTACGTTTGCATACATAACCATTTATTATGAAACAGTTTATGATGTGACACGGCGAGAAACATTCACCAATCTTTCTGATATATGGGCTAAAGAAATTGATCTCTACTCAACAAATCAAGATTGTATCAAGATGCTTGTAGGCAATAAAGTTGATAAGGTATCTTTTAGTGGCATTATCTAGATGTTCATAATCCGGCAAGATAATATGATCCCATGTTATGATTCCTCTTTTTGCCCTTATAGCTAGGTGCTTTCTTCTTTGTTTGTATTACACATTACAGTTGTGAATCAAATGTCCCAAATTACCATCACATCTAGAATACTTTTGCAGGATAGTGAACGAACTGTTAGCAAAAAAGAGGGAATGAACTTTGCAAGGGAGTATGGGTGCCTCTTCATTGAATGCAGTGCCAAAACTCGGGACAATGTGGAGCAATGTTTCGAGGAACTCGTTTTGAAGGTGAGTATGGTAACAGTACCTTTACGTATGATTTTTCTTCCATCCTCATTGACCTTTTGTCTATGCTTTTTTATGAGTCTAACTACATGGATGCTTTAGGTGGTCTGTGCTTTTATTAATTTGGGTTTCTTGCACCATTCTGCATCTAGCACAAAGGGATTTATTTGGCCTTTGGGAGCTGGCCCAGCCAAATCCAACTTGTCTATATTTGGAGTATTTATCTTTGATTTTGGGTTCTCGACCTGTGATTGCTGATGGACGAGTATTCCAAGTAATAATCTTTAATGATATCTACATGAATACCGTTTAGAAGATGCCAGCAAGCATTCTTAGTAATAACCTTTAATGAGCTCTGCATAAATCAATACTATATAGTAAATGCAATGTGTTTGATCATGAAATCAACTTTATATGTAAATCATGTTTTGTAAAAAAAATTTATTTAGAAATGGGGTTTAATGAGTGACCCCCTAGTTGAAAAAAGAAATACGTGTCTTGGTCAGGTCAACATCCAGAAGAGTTTGATAACTAGGCAGTAATCACCAGTATCCTATGCTATTTGTTGTTGATTTTGTTATCTAGCAAGTGGACTGTAACATGAACAAGTAATAAAGTGGATTAAGTCCAAATATTGACTGAGGAGGACTAAGTATCTAATCTAATTTCTAATTATCCCAACTCTAATCTATGAACACAATTAATATGATAAGATGGATAATTTGTATTAACAGCTCAAAAAGTAGCGAATCTAATTGGACCAAAAAAGAAAAAAAGAGAGAGAGAGAGATTTTTTTCTAGTGATACGTAACTTATCCAATTAATTAAGTGGTAGGAAGCGTTCATGAATACTCGATTAACAGCAGAACACTAGTACTCCGAATCCCCCTACATTCTTCATCTTAATATCAATTCCACAATTTGACAACATTTAATTGGAATTGAAGATCAATGTTCCCATCTTGTTTAATGATTTCTTTCGAATAGAATCAAATTTATCCTTGCATATGACCCTGTAATATCCCTATCCTGATTGCGGCATATAAAAATGCATTAAATCACAAGAACGTTCAATTGGATCATGCAAGTACAGAAAATTATCTCTAATTTCTGTAGAACTTTACAATAATTGTTACTTGTGCTAAATTTCTATTCCTTCTCCCGAATGTCAATAAAATCATGCATGAATTCAATTAGTGACCAATTAATTGAAAAACATTGAACTAATAATCATTCAACACCAAACCAATATTTTAGCCCCTGTTTGGTCCCCCATTAAAATTATAGTTCATTTTTTCTCTTCTTGTCAACCACATATTCTCTAATAAAATAATAATATACGTAACTCCAAAATTTTTTCTTTTTCTTTTTCTTTTTAACCACATTCTTCAAAAAATTACTATTTCAAAATATATTTTTCCCTAATTCTCATTATAATGGTGGCCAAACAAGGGCTTACATGTCAAACTATAGAATTTAATTTCAAAACTTCATAACATAGGGTTCAATGTGATCACAACATATATGTGATTAGCCGAGCATCATATTAATGCAAAAACATGATTTAAATAGATACAACATCACTCGGTATTTATGTGTAGGAAACACTCTTGAATTTTGAATTCCTTCAATGGTTCTTGAATTATTTCTTTAAAATCTTTTTCTTCTTCTACTCCAAGCGAGGATGTATGGATTTATATAGGGTAGATGTTTTGAATAACAAAAGCTTTGCAGATAATATATCAATTTTTAACAATGGCTCTATTTGAATCTATGGAATATGTATTTATTTATTATTATTATTATTATTTTATATACAAGAGCCCTTAATCTTCTCTTTAATAAGAGTTATATGTACAAGATTCCTAAGCTTCCCTCCCTTTGAATTTTAGAAGAAGGTTTGAATTTGTAGACCAAGAATTAGGTTAGAATTCATGCCTTAATTGCCTTCCAAGAAGAGATTGAAATGAATAAGGATACAAAATTTCCATGATGAAATTACACCATGCAATCACATGGCTTTACCCATTGAGATTGCATGGGCAAGCTATTTTGCTCTCTAGAATTGTTTCAAAGGGCATTAGATCACATCGCTCAAGGATTGCAATTGTAAGCCTCACAATTTTGGCCAACTTCAAGTTGGTCCCTAGATTTTTGCCCTCGTTCATCTCGAGGCCTTTCCTTTTTGCACGTTTCGTCCTTCATCTTTAAATAATCACAATTTAATCCTCAATCTCCACAATTATCTGTAATATATCAGATGCAAGTTCCAAAACTTTGCAATTAAGTCCCCAAACTTTCCCAATGATGATTTAGCTCTCGAAACTTGTGAATTTCTTCTTATGTCTCTCTTAATTCTTCATATTGATCATATGCAACTCGGTTGATATTTAATTGCTCCGAATTGACTTCAATTAAGCTCTAAAACACCTTTTCCACGCTAATTGCATCCAAATGCATCCAAGTCAGTGTTTTGCCTACAATTAACATATTTCAACCTGGATATCCGATGAATTGGCAGTAAATAATCAAGCTTAGAAGCCATAATAAGTGTATAAAATACTCTTATCACTGTGTAGTTAAGATATCACACCTAATTATTCTTTGCTTTTCAAGTAAAAGATAAACCAAGGGTAAAAGATTGGCTAAACTTTTCTCCATTTTTAAGAGATGTTACAAAATGGTCTTTGTTTTTGAAGCACGCGCTTATTAACTTTAAATCATAAACCATCTTGAAGCCAATTTTTTTTTTTTTTTTTTTCACAGTTGAGTTAGCTTTCCCCATATGACCATTCAAATACCCATGAATAAATTTAGCCCCCATTTGGACCCTAATATTTCAAATTTTAATGAGTGGAATAATATTTTTTTGGAGAATGAATGGTTGAAAGAGAGAAAAGTTTTCGATTTACGTGTAATACTATATTATGAAAGATTCTATGGTTGAAAACAAGAGGGGAAATTTTTTTTTTACTTTAATGGGAGCCAAACGAGCGCGTATTACCTTAGCTAGGGATTGTCACCCCATCTTCTCTAAGCATAAATCTAAATGTTCCTATATCCAATTTTTTGCTCTAATTTCTGATATTATACCAAAGTGCCACATCACTTGTAGGATAGGCCTTAGCTAACTTGTTTCCAATCTTCTCTGGTCTGGGGGCACTCTATAGTTTTCCATTCTGAAAAGACACATCAACAAAATGTTTAAAACAAATAAAATCATAGATGTGAGAAAATGTTACACTAGTAGTCAACTTGGTGCAACATTTCTCCTTTTTCTAGGTTCAGGACTTGCTAAGTAGGAACATAGACAGGTTATTTTCTCAAATAATTATTTAGAAATACGATGGCAACAATTTACCAAGACGAAGAGCTTTTTGTAGTCTATTTTCTTGTAAATTTTGATTAAAAATTTTAGAGTCGAACCTTATTTTGATGACTCTTTTACTGAAATATTACTAACAAAGCGATTCTGCAACGGATAAAATGCAAGTCTTATATGTAAATTTTGATCTGCGTCATGATTTAATGTTAGATTTTTCTACGTTCACTTTGTTATTTGGCAGATGTTGCCTAAGTTAAAATCTTGAATAAGACTTTTCGAATCGAGTTCTGTTGTGCTTGTGTTACCTGCTTCAAAGAATAATGTTGACATCAGAACTGCACCACTGATGAAGAGGAGGATATTTGGCTAAGTACCAAAATTAATTGAATTTACTGATAAGTATATAAGCTGCTCTTTGACATCCTTTACTTTAACCACATATTTTCCAAAAAATACTATTTTTATTTTGAAATAAGTATTTATTGATGAAAGTCAGAAATAAGTTATTTAATTTGTCGGTCAGAGTTACTTTAAAAAAAGTAACTTTTTAACTTTAAAAGTAATTAAAGAAAGTAAGTTATTCAAAGATGTTTAGGAGAAAAAAAGTTACTTAAAAAACCACTTTACATTCTTTTAAGCTTAGTCAAACCATGTTCTAGTTATTTTAGCAGTTCTCTGTTTCTCTTGTTTCAATATTAACTCTGTTAATCAGATTTTGGAATCACCGAGTCTCTTGGCTGAAGGCTCCAGCGGCGTCAAGAAGAACATCTTCAAACAGAAACCTCTGGAATCTGATGCATCCACCAGCAGTTGTTGCTAAATTTTCTTTCCTTTGCTCTCTTTACCTGTCAATGAAATTTCTAGTATATTGTTTCGTGTTTGATCAAAGAAGCTTGTGTAATTGATCTTTATGTAATGGCCTTAATCGTGGCATATTGTTTGTTTTCTCCATTTCTTTTATTATACACCGCAATGTTTACATTAATTAGGACATTTTATCCAATTTCAATGGTATTGTAATTTGTTTTTGTGGCTATACTTAGAACTGAAAAGATTAAAATGGTATGTAGAATTAGATATGACTCAACATTGTAATAGTCACATTTTTAGTTTGGTTTAACAAGTTATGAAGGTATTTTTACTTCCCTTTTCATCCCTAGATAATAGGAAAATATACTTGTACATTTTGTGCTTCAAAGTGTCAAGGTATTCAATTTATCCTTTGACCCGATAATCCTCATTGTGAGGCTTCCTTTGTATATATAGGAATAATAAGGCAAATTACATGGCTGAATGTTAGCTATCACTGTACATGAATGGAAACTGAACAATTTTCTACCAATTACAACTATTATACAAAGTTATACAAAGCATCTCTAATTCTGGTGTTAATTACTCTTTTTATCTAATCGACATCCCCCCTCAAATTGACGTTGGGTGATCAAGAAGCATCAATTTGCCCACAAGAAAGAGATGACGTTGTCGTGTCATGGCTTTGGTGAATATGTCGGCAATTTGTAGATCAGTAGAGATTTGCGGAAGAGAAATAATATTTGCGTCAAAAGCCTCTCGAATTGAGTAACAATCTGTTTCGATATGCTTTGTACGCTCATGATATATTGGATTTGCAGCAATCTGAATAGCACTCGTGTTGTCCGCATGAAGGGGTGTAGGATCAGACCGAGGAAAGCCAAGTTCAGCTAAAAGTCCACGGAGCCACATAATCTCAGAACAGGCAGCGGACATGGCACGGTATTCGGATTCAGTTGAAGATTTAGACACACGTGCCTGCTTTTTACTCTTCCAGGATATCAAAGAATTACCAAGAAACATACACCAACCCGTAACAGAACGACGAATATCAGGGCAGCCGGCCCAATCTGCATCACTAAATGCAACAAGACGAATAGGAGACCTAGAAGGGAGAAACAATCCATGAAGAGCTTGGAGATACCGAATGATGCGACGAACTGTCACAAGATGAAGATGTCGTGGAGTTTGCATAAACTGACTGACTTGCTGGACTGCGAATGATATGTCAGGCCTAGCAATGGTCAAGTAGTTGAGGCTCCCAACTAATTGACGAAAGATAGTCGGATCAGGAAGGAGCTCACCCTCTTCACGACGATATTTAACATTGACTTCCAGAGGAGTATCGACAGAAGAAGAATCTTGAAGACCAGCCAAAGTGATCAAGTCTTGAATATATTTGTGTTGGTTCTATATACCTGTGGAATCAGTGTGTACTTCCAAGCCCAAAAAATATGTTAGAGGACCAAGATCCTTCATGTGAAAGGAAGCCTGTAGGTGCTGCTGGAGTTGAGTTATCAAATCAGAATCTGTGCCAGTGATAACAATATCATCCACATACACAAGTAAAAGAACAATATCTGTAGATGTCTTACAAAGATATAGGGAGGAGTCATACTGACTCTGGATAAAAGAAAGTTGTAACAAAGTAGATCGAAACTTCTCAAACCATGCTCGAGGAGCCTGTTTCAGCCCATAAAGAGACTTCTTCAGCTTACATACTTGTGAAGAAAAGGAAAAAAGGCCCGGAGGAGGTGTCATGTAAATATCTTCCTTGAGATCACCATGAAGAAAAATATTTTTGACATCCATTTGGTGAAGAGGCCACCCCTGAGAGGCTGCAATAGAAAGAACAGTGTGCACTGTAGTCATCTTTGCCACTGGAGCGAATGTCTCATCATAATCTACCCCATATTCCTATTTATTTTCGAGAGCAACTAGGCGAGCTTTTTAATGATCCAGAGTTCCATCAGAACGAAGCTTAATAGAATATACCCACTTACAACCAATAGCTTGATATTGGGTGGATAAGGAACAACATCCCAAGTATAATTATCCTGAAGTGCTTGAAGTTCTTCATCCATAGCCTTCCGCCACCATTCATGTTTAGCTGCTTCTGAATAACTAGGAGGTATAAATGTCAGTGTAGTAGCAAATGAATGAAAAGAACCATATCTATCAGGCGGGCGAGAAATATGGGTAGATCGTCGAGGACCCGGATCAGGAGGTACATCAGTATCTCATGCCAACTCAGGCTTAGAAGAGTGGGGGTGGACAAGATCAGATGTGAGGTCAACTTCAGGAAGAGGCCTATTTGGTCGACGTCTCTCATACACGAGTCCGGGCTTGAATCTTTTAGGATGAGAAGTCAAATCACCAAAGCATGGGAGAATACTAATTTCAGGTAAATGTTGAGCATGAGTATGAAAGAAAGATTGTTGCTCAAAGAAAACAACATTACGAGAAATGCGAAATCTGTTAGAACATGGATCATAGCAAACATAACCTTTGTGCGAAACACTGTAACCCATAAAAGCACACTTAACAGATTGTGCAGAAAGCTTGTGTCGTTCATGAGAAGGTAAATGAACAAAGCAAATGCACCCAAAAGTATGCAGGTCATGATAGGTAGGATGTTGATTATGAAGGTGATAATATGGAGAGTCAAAGCGTAAAGTTTGGAAAGGCAATCTATTGATTAAATAAACTGCAGTGGACACTACTTCAACCCAGAATTTTGAAGGAACATGGGAATCAAGTAATAATGTACGAACAACATCCAGTACATGACGATTTTTTCGTTCTGCCACCCCATTTTGTTGAGGGGTATAAGGGCATGATCGTTGAGACAAAATCCCTTTTTGTTTTAAGAAATCATGAAACTCATGGTACATATATTCTTCACTTGAATCAGATCGTAAAATTTTAATACTGGCGGAGAATTGGGTCTCAACATATGTCACAAAGGTTTGAAAAATTGAAAGTACTTCAGATTTAAAACGGAGAAAATAGATCCATGTGTATCAGCTATAATCATCAATAAAAGTCATGAAATATTTATACTGGGCATGAGAGGTGATAGGTGAAACGCCCCAAACATCACTATGCACATCAAAGCTCTTTTTGGCACGACTACTGTGAGAAGGAAAAGGAAGAGTCTTACTCTTTCCCAATTTGCATGTAGAACAATCAATGCACAAATTATGAGAAGAATTATTTTTATTACCCAACAAACCAGAGTTTAACAAATGAGACAGGATAGTGAAGTTTGGATGTCCCAAACGTTTGTGCCAAACTTCACTTTTATTGTTAACAGTTATACAAGCCAAAGATAAGCAACTAGGAATAGAAAAATGTAATGGAAACAATCGTCCAATTTTAGGCCCCTTCGCTAGTATCTTCCCCGACACTTGATCCTGCACAAGAACACCATCACGAGAAAAATGGACATCATAATTGTTATCAACTAATTGACCAACTGAAATCAGATTTGTAGATAAACCAGGAGATATAAAAATTTCTCGAAAAGCAGAATTAATGTTACCAACAGCATTAATAGCTAAATGACTCCCATTAGCTGTTTGAATATGAGATGAGCCTTGATATGGGCGAATATCATAAAGACCATCAGAGGAACTGGTTATATGATTTGAGGCACCGGAATCAACTAGCCAAGATTGAGATGAAGTATTATGTTTACCTTGAAATCCCAAGGCAGCAAAAGTTGACGCAATCATTTGTTGCACCATTTCAGGAGTAAGAGCAGATTGGGCAGCAGTAGATGATGTCTCAGAAGTCGATGGCCTGGTAATAGCCTGATATGCATTAGCCTGATGATTTTGAGGTCGAGTAGGACAGTCTTTGATAATGTGTCCCGACTTCTTGCAATAATTGCAGTACTTTTTGGTACAATGAGTAGCAATATGCCCATAGTCTTTGCAATTGAAGCATTGAATCTTTCTCATGTCTCTCCATTTGTTTTTGCCATGAGCTACATAAGCGACAACATCTGAGGTCATATGTTGATGTTGAATAGTGGCCTGTGTTGTAAGACGCTGCTCTTCACGAAGTAACTCCCCAAAACAAACATCCAAAGAAGGGGACGGATCACGATTCATTAGATTTGAGCGAATTGCCTCATTTTCTGGACGTAACTTCATTAGAAGCTGGTCTCGCTTGCTTTGCTCGTGTACAGTTTGAACGGCAGCAAGAGATTCAATTGGTACTTTAGCATAGATATATCAGCAAATTCACCCCATAACCTTTGAAACCCAGAGAAGTAATCCTGGATGTTGAGATTGGCCTGAGTGTAATTTGCAATTTCATACTCCAATTGAAATCGTCTAGCTGTATTGTCTTGATTGTAGACCTTTTTTAATCTCTTTAGCAGTTTTATGAGGTCTTAGATTTAGTACAATCATAGGATCAACAGATCCTAAAATCCATGTCATAACCCTAGCATCTTTCACTTTCCAATAGCCCAATTGAATATTCTCAGTAAGAGCTGGGTCACTTCCATCAATATGACCCCATAATTCTTTTCCCATAACGAATAATCGAAATTGAAATTCCCATGTAGAATAATTTTTACCCGTGAATCGCACACCGAAAGTTTCAGACATGTTGGTTGATATGATGTACGTAGTTAGAAAAAAAAAAGGACCCAATATAAATTCAGCAAAACCAAAGTCCAGCAGAAAGCCCAATATAAACCGAGCTCAAGTAAACTTTAAGACCCCAACTAAACAATGGATAAACCGAGCCCAAGTAAACTTTAACACCCCAATTAAACAATGGATTAATTGCCCAAGTAAACTTTAACACCCCAATTAAACAATGGATTAATTAGTCCAACACACAGAGGTTAATATCAAACCTCTAATCACGCTCACCGCACCAGTCTCGGCCTCCACGCTCACCGCACCAGTCTCAGCCACCACAGGAGACGTCGACAGCACCAAAGAAGTCCAAAAAATCGGACACCACGTAAGACCCAAATGGACAGTCTTGACAAAACCCAAAGAAGGCATTGCCAATCACCACAGAAGACGCCGACAGCAGCCAAGAGGTCGAAAAATTCCGACACCACCGAAGACCGACTCTATCGCAGTCGGAAAATTCCGACACCACCGAAGACCGACTCTATCGCACGAGAAACCACGAAGAAATTCAGAATTATGGCTCTGATACCATGTCAAGGTATTCAATTTATCCTTTGACTCGATAATCCTCATTGTGAGGGTTCCTTTGTATATATATAGGAATAATAAGGCAAATTACATGGCTGAATGTTAGCTATCACTGTACATGAATGGAAACTGAGCAATTTTC